CTTTTTCAATTTAAGGTATCTATTTACTATACTACTCAAAGTGTCAACGAATATATGAACATTTATAGTGAATATGTTACATTTTAGAAAAGACTCATTGAAAAGACCATGTTACTGATAAATTTGAAACTTTGGATATCATTTATTTAAACCATGAGATTCGTCGCAGTGTGACTTTGTTCAGTATTTTTCATCAAATTACAAATCTCATAAGAAATTTCTGCAAAGAGAAAAAAGTTTACAATATTCGCGTTCTCTCATGAGATCGTGGAACACTCGCTTGAGTTCACAGACCTTCCGCGACGATTTACGGGGCCTTGAGGCGACAAGGGTGTAGGGGCAACAACAATGACGAAGGTAGCCCAAGAGTAATTCTCGAGGTAGGACGTAGGTCAAACAATTCGTAATCATTTAAAGTCAAAAATCCGTAAAATGCACGGTGTTAAAAACCACATTGTAAGGAATTGATTGATACAATCATCATCCAAAAAAATCTAGTTTAAAACACCAAACTATCAAGAAATTGACTGGTTTCGGTCTGAGTTATTACGGAAAAGTGCAAGTTCTCCAGATATTTCTCTTCTTTCTTTTCACCTGTTCGAGCAAATTACAGAGCCTACAATAATTTTCAGCAAAGCGTCCAACATTTTTCATTCTCGCGACCTTTAGCGCGGTGGGAGGAAAACTTGAGTTCGCAGACCTCCCGCAACGATTTCCACGGGCCTCGAGGCGACGAAGGTGACGACGACGGCGGCGGCGGCGGCGGCGGCGGCGGCGCTGACGACGGCGGTCCAAGAATCCTCCTCGGAGCAGTGCGACGACGGCGGCGGCGGCGGCAGCTAAATTATTTAACGGTTCCTGGAACCGGTCCGGCAAATGGACACGATACGGCGATGCGTGCTCAATTAACCTAACAAATAGCGTGGCCGGCGGCGGCGGCGGCGAGAGGACGTGTCCACGCCGCGCGTTCGGCGCTGCCTCTTCTGCGCCGCGCGTTGAGCGCCGCGCGTTGGTACTGCGCGTTGAGCGCCGCGCGTTCGGTGCTGCGCGTTCTGCGCCGCGCGTTGAGCGCCGCGCGTTGAGCGCCGCGCGTTGAGCGCCGCGCGTTGAGCACCGCGCGTTGAGCTTCGCGCATTGAGCGTCACGCGTTCGGTGCTGCGCGTTCTCCGCTGCACGTTCAGCGCCGCGCGTTTAACGCCGCGCGGTCTGCGCCGCGCGTTCGGTGCGCAGAGGCGGCCGCCGCACCGCGTCGGTGGGGCTCCTGACTCAGCAGATGCACGCTCGTCACTCATCATCAAACGTGTGTTTGGGCCGCGCCGATCCGCTGCCACCACCGCCGTGTGTGGGGTTGCGGGTGAGTGCGAAAGAATGGCACGGGGCAAGCGACGTTTGTGGAGGAGTCACGAGGAAAAGGTGCACCGGATTGTTTGTTCGTTACTCACGCTTCGATGGAGGCGCAAATCAGCTAAGGTGGCAGGATCTATTGTTTTGTTTAGTGCCGTTAAGGCAGAGTTCGATAAAAAATATTATGAAGAATCATTTACATCTACATGACAAAACATCATATCTCTTTGTAGGCACTACAGATGCATAACTTTAACGTCGATGATGTTGATAATTTCTATCGCCCAGTGTTCAAAAAAAATATCAACCTTCAAAGAGATTTAAAACTGAAAAAAAGTCTTAAATACAAGTGTTGAAGGATTATGGTGAAAGAATATGGTAATGTTTGTTATATGTTGAAACAATGTGGTTATTTTTGTTGCAAAACGAGGATTAAAAAGAACTTTTGATAAAATTAATTTCTCACATTTTAAAGAGAGAACTCAAATTACATTTGAATTCAGTTTCTCTTTGTACGCTTAGGAGTATGGCGCCGAGCGACCTCAAAACTCGAGTGTGAGTTCACATTTTTTACTGTAAATAGGATTTTACGAACAAAATACGAAACTTTGGCCTGAAATAATTTTTCAAATTTTTTGATTGCGATTTGTAACGTCGAAATCTTTTATGTCATGAATTGAAATTATCCATTTTAAAACGCCAACTGAACAACCATCGGGCAATAAGTGTATACTGATTATTGATTATTGGTTCCGGGAGCCGTCAACTACTTAGATTCGTATTCCGTAAGTGTAGAGCATGTTTTTATCGCTGGAGGTGGCATTGATCTTCCCCCACTGAATAAGTTCGGCCGCCGATGTACAATGTTTTTTTTAAGGTATCTCCCGCCAGTGTGGTACCCCCAGCCGAGACAAGCTCTAATTCTCCAGACATGTTTAGTAATGAAATACATGTAAGTTCAAGTGTGTGTAAGTAATAGATAAAGATAGGTCAGAGAAGAGGAAGGAAAGATCGCGTGCAGTTCGTGGCCCGTTTGTTAGTGTACTGCTACGGCATTCGCCTGGTATTGATCGAAGAAGCCCCGGAGAACCACTGATCAGCGCAGCCGGCCGCTAGAATTCTCCACCAGACAATTGAATTGACAGCTGAATTCGATCTAGCTACAGACAAAAATCCTGTCACCATCGGCACCTCTCTGTCAGAAGAACTGCAATGTTGATGAAATGAAAATTAACGAATCTCTGGCGCCAGCGAGTTCGTTTGCCCACTACTGACAAATAGTAATAGCTATTTGCTATTTGCTATTTGCTATAGCTTCCGTAAAAGTACTTTTGAGATGTTTATCGAAATTTTTATCGCCTTTCATTACAGTTTGCAAAGCACAATTGTAGAAAACCAATCTACTCGCTACACAGCAACTTCTTGTCCTTTGCACAATACGAAGTTTACACATGAACAATTTGGAGTGTTATGAGTGAGTTGGTAATTCTATTTTATTTGTGCTAAATGTTGCAACATTACGATCCAATTCCAGATATAGTATGCCAGACTCTTAGGTCACACTATTTAATGATTTAAAGGAGTAATTAAATTTACGCCTAAGACGGTTTTTAATGGCTAAACAAGTTCAACATTTTGCACGAACTTCCTTTTTCTCTCCAATTCTTATTCGGGCACTGGAATTCGCGAAACATGTTATTTTCCACCACTGGCAAAATTCCCGACATGTTTAAGTTAATTTATACAATAAAATACTGAATATATACTCGAGTTGTCAAGAAATTGACTGGGCATTTAAATTAAAAGCTGCTACGAATGCACGGTATGTGCTGACGACTTTCAACGGTTGAAGCAGAGCAGTTTCGGCAAGAAACTAAATGCCCCAGCTCTCTGATACATAACAGTCTCTGATGACTATTATATGGTAGTGTTCGGTTGCGCAGGCGACGCTTCATCACCTTGGATGACTCTACGCTTCAGCGCCGGATGTGCAGTTGTTAGGACGGACTTCTTGAGCGATGCAGTCCATTCATCAAGAAAATTCTCGCGCAAGAAAAAGCAAACTGTGCAGGATGTGGCAAACTTTATGACAATTCATTTAGGTATGCAATGTGTAGATTGAGATGAAGCCTATTTAATATAAAGTCGAACTTAAAACATGTTAGGAAATGAAAATTGCATTGTATGTGAGGAAATGAGCATTTGCGTTTCAGACAAGATGTCAAAAGAGTTTTGAAAGAGATGATTGAATAATTTAAAGGAAGTTTCCATATAATTGAGAAAAATTACTCTGAATTGTAGTTCCATTAGTGTTATATCTAGCCTTCATCGCACCTTTCCTATTTCGGTTAAACCGATCACGTGACAGTGTCTCAGTCGTCTTGCATCTCATTACTGCTTGTGTGTAGGGTCTCTTCTGCCATAAGTGACCAATCAAAAGCCCGCAACACTCGCGCATGGTATGCGCATCTTCCATCCAGACATTAGATGATGTGGAAACTCTGCGCACAATCCGTATTTAAAGCTAGGGTCTTACGGTCTTAATATATAGTTAAATTTACTTCCGAACATCAAGCGCATACGCTATCGCAACCGGTTTGAGTTCTACTGCGAGCTAGCAATGACTATTTAAATTATGATGGGGGCTTATAGTTATATAAGATATGAACGAAGGAATGTAATTATGGTATAATATGAAAGCAGTGGTGAGTGAGTGTCTAGGCACTAAAACACAAAAAAATATGATATAAAAAATCTACGTAAAAAATAAATTCAAGAGGCACACTTATTTGTAGAAAAGTTAATCAGTTTCCTTAACGTTGAAACATTGTGTGCGTTTCTTACTTAGGTTAAAACCTAAATATTTTCACCTACTTTTTAGACACCAGATTTTTGTAATTTATAGCACATTTTTCACGTCAGCCACTAATTGATGATGAAGCAATTATGTAACAAGAGGCAGGAGAAACGGAAGCGAACTCGAAAAGCTGTCGCAAAGTCACTTTGTTCGCTATGGATTCTTCTTAAATCGACCGACAATTGGATTGCAGATGGCCAGAGTTTGATGGTGAGTGGCCAGATCGATAAGTACTTGACAGTTTGCCTCAACCTAACAATGAGTGGTTGCTTCAGATTTGTTTAAATCGATGACATGCAATGACTTCTTTTTGTTACTTTTTACATTCAGATGCGGTGCACGCTGTTTCTCTCAGAAAACTTCAGTGCTCCCGACTGCGAAGTAAAGAGTCCATAGTAGAAAACCACCCTAATCATCTTTTCCTCTAGACATGTTAAAAGTTAAGAGATAAGAAAGCACTTACGTACCCTTGTGTTTACAGTGGAAACATCTAGTTCTTCAATAGCGGTAATTTACACGTGACGAAAACTTTGGGAATTTGCAAATATTTGAAAATAGCAAACAAGTATTATGCCTTCCCATGTTTATTGAGAAATTTTGAATTATAGTATTAAGGCTCAGAAACCATTCTCTTATTTAATAAAACTACTATTTAATAAAAAGTGCATGTGATATTGAAAAGGGGGCGCCAAAATATTTTCATTGTGATACTGTCTATACCATTCTCTCATACAAGAATAATTTCGAATGATGCAGAGAAAAAGAAGAAAATAACAACAAAATTATCTAAACATTTTGTTTAACTAATTTGATTAAAATATTTGATATCTAAACTTCAGAAAATAAGATAGTGTTAATTTCACTGCTTTCTATTTTTCGACTTCACTTTCGTTCAAGAAATTATTCACAAGATGCCCATCCCATCTCTGATAACCTCCAAATCACATGGCTAAAATGTTGCTAGAGATGTTTTGCATCGTAGAACTTCGAAATCTGGGAAATTGTCTCGCGAGTCGGAAAGAATCGTTCTCTCAAATCTCTGCATTTTCTCTCGGACCCTAAATCCGTTAAAAAGTTAGGTGGGCTTGAGAGTGAATGAGGATATGCCTCGGACAAATAATCCGACAAGGCGATTGGTGTCCTACGCGTGTGTCTGACACAATGGTTGTTTCATGAATTACTGGAATTGGACACAAACAACACCTTTTCAGAACATTTGCCTGTAATAAGATACATAATTCTGTGGATAATACGTCAAACCTTAACGTTTGTTCTAGAATACCTAATAACTGGTTTGTTTGATCCTAAGACGCGGAAAAAATTCTAAGTCTGGAAATGACCCTAAGGTTGCAAAGCATGTTTTAAGAACATCAGTTGTCACCGATACTGAACGCGTGGCGACACCATGCTCAACGACGCAGGGGAAATTATCAGTGGCGTTTCTTTGTGTATGTATCAACGGCCAAAAAATATTTTTCCCTCTAAGTTTATTTAGATATTTTATTTATTCGGTCTCCCATGCGATCGGCCTCACAGATCGACATGGAGCGTTTATGGAACGCAGGCAGTGTGCGAGCGCAGTTCAGGCTGCTGGCGAAGGTCTTCAAGACGTCTTCAAGACTTGCAACGTCTTCAAGACGAATCGGGTGGCGGCAGCGCATGCGCGCGACATGGATGAAGCGTGCAAAGGCGTCGGGTCGCGATTCAACGGCCTGCTAGTGAGCGAGCATCCGCGATCTTTCCAAAAGAAAGTACAATACTCTCATTGTTATTTTGCGACTATCTTTCCCTCATTGTTCCAATATTATATTTTAAAATAAATGACAATTTTATTTACATAATTCAATTATACTCTAAATATGAAAGCTTATTAAAAGCTTAATAAAACTGGAAATTATACATATGGCTTGCCGATGGGAGCCGCGAAAAGCCTAGTCCAATGGTTGCAGAGTGAGCTCAGTAATCAATCAAAATGTTTGCGCATGAACAATGTATTTTTTCCTATTGTTCCATAATACTTTGAATTTATAGCCCGTAGCCACAGCCCAGAGCGTTAGCTCGAATAATTCACATGGAAGTTTTAGTGAACAAAGCCGGTTCGAGGTTGGTTTTCTCGAGGGTCTCACGTTCCCCCTGATCCTCGTTCTACCATTGCATCGTCATCATTCGCATTATATTTTTAAACTAAACTATCCGTTAAATCACATATTCATCCAGGCGAACGAAGTAATTTGCATCCGTGAGGTCTTTGCCACCCACACTGTGACAATGTCTCGCAGACACGACCACCGCAATTAGTCAACAGAGGGAGATGACTTACCATTCTTTTGTAGCGCTCCAGGTGTTAAAGTTGAATCGTGATCACAATGTACGTAAAGTTGTCGTTTGGCGCTTATCGTTATGGTTGAAATAATTAGCAGTTGAAAGTTGAAGTTGAAATGTTGGCCGCCATGTTGCGTACTTATCTACATGGTGGTACATTATGACGAACAATAGAGACGTAAGATGTATAAATGTGTAATCAAATTGTGAAAATACGTTTGAAATTCAAATTCTTGACAGAATTTAACAAGTAAGAAGAAATTTCATTGAGTGTAAAGAAAAGTGCATTCCGGCGTGAAGGAGAAAATTGTGTTAATTTTTAATATACGCAGACTTCTAATGATTCTGTGATCAAAAGCAATTAAATTACTTCAGCTTTTCTTCCCGACATATACCCACGAACCAACGATAACAAAATTAATCACCATACGGTGCATCTATTCAAAACCATGAACAGTAGGTTGATTAATGTTTCAGACGTACAAATAAGGAAATATCGAATCAAATGCGTTTCCAAAAACAAAACCTTCAGAAGAAAAGTCATAAATATTCAAACAATAATAAAAAACAAAAATGAGATAATCGTGGCTTCAAATGCAATTACGAGTATTTAGACAGGAATCTTGGCTGACTGAGGTGAGCTCCGTTTGTGTCTTTTGATTGATTAGCGATTCTGAGCGCATCAACTGATAGGGTCGTTAGTACCGTACGTGTATGCCATGTTTTTATCCATGAGGTGAGCTGGATGGCGAGATCCGTCGTCGATCTACATATATCAGCTATCAGGGAATTATCCCAACCCGGTATCTCCCACCAGTGGGGCACCGCCCCTGTCGAGGCAAGCTGTAAGTTCCCGACGGCTCTCCCGACAAGTGCGGTAGTGTAGTACATGTGTGTGTAAGTAAGAGGTGAGTATAGGAGAAGGAAGGGAAAGGAAAGTTTGCGCTCTGTCCGTGGCCCGTTTGTTAGGGTACTGCGCCGGCATTCGCCTGCTGTTGATCGGAGAAACCACGGAAAACTATCGATTAGTGTAGTCGGCTTCTAGAATTCTTCTTCAGAGAGCAGCAGAATTCCTCATAGCTGTTGTAGCTAATGTCGAAAATCTTGCCATCGCCGGGACTGGAACTCTAGGACCTCCCGGTCAGAGGCATTGAAGTGACATCAGGTGATGCCCTGAGCCGCCTTTGCTTGTGCATGTATAGTGATGGCTGACGTTTCGGCCAATTGCGTCATTCTTCAGAGATGTACATTTGCAGAACGCCGCAATATGTTGGCCGAAACGTCGCCGGCCACCACCATGCAGAGGCGACTCGTCCTGGGCAGCCGTTTCCATAAATACCGGCCGCGGATGTATACGCAATCGCAAATATTTACATTTTACTTCTTTTCTTTCACCTAAAATATACACCCTGGCTGGCCGGAAGGTCCTCGGGTTCGAGCCCCGACGTTGGTAGATTTTCGATGCTAGCTACATAGCTATGTAGAATTCAACTGCTGTCTGGAGGAGAATAGCGGCCGGCTGCTTTGATCGGTAGATTTCCGTGATTTATCCGATCAATACCAAGTGCATTGTCTCAACAAAAAGGACCACGAACCGCGTACGAGCTCTCCCTCTTTTTCCTTGTTCTAACATCTCCCCTTTCTTGCACACCATACTCTTACACGCACTACCACACATGACGGGGGACCAGCTGGGCGCTTAGAGCTTGTCTCGGCTGGGCCGGTGCCTCGTTGGTAGGGAATACCTGGATGTCGAAAACACCGCAATCCATCGGGAAGGTCGGCGCCAGATCACACGATCCAGCTGGGGAAGATCACCATCTCCCATTCCAATAAAATAATATCTACATTTATTATGAGTCTAATGACCATAGTTGACGGAAATATCAATCAATCAACTGGTGCATCAAATATTACACCAGTAGGATCCTTTATATTTTTCAGATAAACAAATATACAAAACGCCAGAGTAAAAGCGACGACTAAAAGAGAACTTCTAGAAGTAGAGGCAGGCGCATTGGATTAATATTAAACAGGCAAAACATGTACTCGCATACTCAATTGCAAATATTGGGTCTGTATCTATTTGCTGGTTTTCCCTTGAAATGGAGGCTGTGACCTATCGGGTCTATGTATAAACCCGGCCGTCGGGTATCGTCTGAGAGCGGCTGATTCCGTTTTCGTGTCGGCGTTTGTCTCCGTCGGGCGGGCGGCGGGGCGGAGGGCGTTGCCGCGCCAGATGCGGCGTTTGGGCGCTGGCCGCGTGCCCCGATTTGTAGCGACGACGCGCGCCTCGCCCAGAGACGTGTCGATTCGCGGCGACAAACAAGCTCGAGAGCGCCACGGACGGGTTTCCTATCGCGGCGGCGGCGGCGGCGGCGGCAGCGACCGGGGGAGTTTGATTCCGCGGGCTTCTCTACATCGAAACCTCGCTTGTCGCGGTCCGGTCGTATCGATTGGGAACTTTCCAGGTGGTTTTATTAGGATTCGAGAAACTTTGCAAGTAAACGGCTGGGAACTACCCGTTCGAAACCAGGGAAGGTGAAATGACAATACGTATCGCTTATTTATTAGTGTATTAATCCATTAATTCGACGTTCAACAACTGTTTAAAACTGAATCTGAGATGTGGGATTGAAGTACAATTTGCGAAAATTTTTGTGGTCTTGTGGAGTTGTAACTTGGCCTCATGAGAGGACTGGAATATAACATTTGCATATCATATAAAAGCTTAAATGTTGGAACCACGAGAGTGTCAAATAAAAAGCAATGATATTCTTAATTCATGAACTTAAACAACAGAATACAATGAATATCAGTTTTAAAACGTAAATGTATGTAAAGAATTGTTAACCTGGAAATGTATTGAATTGGAATCTAATCTTAATCTTTCTATTTTCAGAAACTCAATGCTGAAATAGGATTTGCAGAAAAATACGGAGATTCCTTCGAAATTGTGATGTAGGATTCTTTACTGATATCTGAATATTACTTCTAACTTACGTTGAGAACTTATATCGGAGACCGGTTTATTTTCCCGGTTTGTTTCCTAACGAAGTAGAAAATGACGTGAAATAAAGCTTAATTTTTTATAGGGAAACATTTACGAGTATACACCGACGCCTTTGATTGAAAATGTGAATTACGTATATAACTTTTTGTTTGTGGCATTGTATCTAACATCGCATCAGCCATGATAAAAATATATGTAATTGAATGTAGCAGCTTTAAATTATACGCTTGCAAAACAGTTGTCACTGAGTGATTAAACAGACGCATGATATTAACAGTCTTATCTTATTTGACAAATGCGCAGAATTATTTTTAACCGTAAGGAATATAGAACAATAATTTCGAGTGTGCGATTTTTTTCTTTACAGTCATGTCCTTTTTTACGAAAATCGGTAACATTAAGACAGGAACTTCATTTCTTAAAATCATGAAATAAATATGCACACGTGGGAACTTTCTAGACAACCTAAAAACATAAAATGCAAAATAATGTGAACAACTTGACTGATATAAAAAAGAGCAATTCGGGCACATGTAGACATCAGTGTTGCCACGTTCTGTAAAAAGAATGCAGAAGCATTCTGACTAAAGCTTGTCTGGGCAAAAGAAAGGTAGTTTTATTTTTCATTTATAAATATTCACAAGGTTGGAAAAACCTCTGATTATTTTCTGAGTCTTTGAGGAACGTTTTAAGATATCCTATACTGTAGTTTTCGGAGAACCAATTTATATAAAAGTATGGAAATTTGCAGAAAAGAAGCAATATAACTTCAGGGTTACTGACAAAGTTTATTTGATATTATCTTGGATGTGTGATTCTTTGACCACGTTTATTGGGAAAACGAAGATATTGCAATATTCTAATTCCAAATATGTATTGATAAAAAACTACGAAATTTTTTGATGTTCTGTGAAATCGGGGGAAAAATACAAATCCTCTGGACGTGACAGCATTTCGGATTATTCTAAGAGAGTTTTCTGTGAGAGATCTGCGAAAAGACGTACCATACGTTTGCCCGAACGAAAATATGCATTACAAAAATCATGTACAGTTTATCCAACTTCAAAGAAGAAGAGCTATATTGACATGGCTGTGGTGTGTCAATGGTCCGCGAAATCCAAAAAAAAGTAAAGTTAAACGTCAAAAGGGAAGAAAAGAATATGAGAAACGTTTTTTTAAAATGATATATTTGTTCTTGATAGATCGAAAATTCTATTGGTTACAGAAATTTTTTTATAGAGCACCTTGCATCGTCGTACTCTGCGTCCGTTAGAGTACCAACTAATACAGCTGTATAAAAATAGATCAGTAAATTTCAAGGTGTAGAGGGATTGCGATCACAAAATACAATATCAGGTTCAATACCATGTGAGGAAATTTTTAATTGCCGGGCAGTAAGATCTGATAATGAAATTATACACTCCAAATCGTTGGCGAACTAAAACTGTTTTATTTACGTGTCCCATCCTCCGTAAACATACCAACAATGAACACGTGATCGTGAAATGCAGATGTAAGAAAATATTAATTATAAATAACTAGTACTGGTGGCAATCATTGGCTGCAAACCGTTAAGGAAATGTTTTGAAAATGACTCATCAGCTCTCGACAAGGAAGAAAATCCTCCACCCCTGATTATTCCCCAATTCCTTGAAGAGTTCTGATTATGAAATAATACATTCCGAAAAGTTTACGTACTTTCACGGTTTCATTTACGTGACCAACGTACCAAACATCGACAAGTGGTCGTGAAATGCCGATTATGTAAGAAAACATTTATTGTTTTGAAAAATATCAAGTTCTGATGGATATAACTGGCCGCAAACCGTAAAGGAAATGTTTTAAAAATGACTCCAGCCTCAAATCCTCCAGCCATAATCCCTCCTCGATTCCATGAAGAGCTCAGATTATGAAATAAAAAATCCTGAAAAGTTTACGGACTATTGTGGTTTTATTTACGTGACCAACGTACAAAAAATCAACAAGTGGTTGTAAAATACAGATGTACGAAAATATGAATTGTATAAAAAATATCGACTACTGATGGCAATAACTGGCCGCAAAACAAAGTAACTACTTCAAAAATGACTCATCAGTACTCAGGAAGGGCGAAATTTCTCCAGCCCTGAACACTTCCCGATTCCTCGAAGAGCTATGATTATGAAATAATACTTTCCAAAACCTTTGCGCACTATCATGGTTTTATTTACGCAGGGTTGCCAGATGTGTTGCGGGCTCTTTCCCCATCACGTCTACGGAATTTCCCCAAATAACCTATCCAATGAAACAAAAGTCTCCAACTTTCAAATGAAAAATATTCTCCAAAATGTGGACCAACGACATGATCTGTCCCTGACGATTCTATTGGCCAAACCCATAAGTTCAAAAACTTTAAACCAACCAGTCAGCGTCCTTTGAGATGCTGGAAGCGCTGTACTACTTACTTTTTCTCATATTTCTCTTTCTCTATGTAGTTTATTCTTTTTGATACATAAAAGAGAGATAATAATGTCTAAGTTTCTTTTTTATTCATAGTAATTGGGAAAATAATATTTCTTTCTCCCGATGAAAATAATTTTCCCAAAAAATTCTCAAACATTTCCCCATCCATATATGTTCCCCAATCTTCCCTCACAATGAAAAAAATCCCCATTTGTGTACAAAATTCCCAATCTGACAGCCCTGTATTTATGTGACCATTACCAATAAACAACCAGTGGTCGTGAAATGCAGCAGATATACAAAAATGTTAATTGTATAAAAAATATCGAGTACTTATGGCAATAACTGTCCACAAAACATAAAGCAAGTATTTCAAAAATGACTCATCATCTCTCGGTAAGGACGAAACTCCTCCAGGCCTGATTACTTCTTAATTCCTTGCAGAGCTCTGATTATGAAATAATACATTACAAAGAGGTTAAGGACTATCATAGTATTATTTACGGGACCAACATACCAAACATCTACAAGTGATTGTGAAATGCAGCAGATGTACGAAAATATTAATTGTATAAAAAACATCGAGTACTAATGGCAATAACTGGCCGCAAACCGTAAAGCAAATATTTTAAAAATGACTCATCAGCTCTCGGGAAGGAGGCAAATCCTCCAACCCTGATCACTCCCCGATTCCCTGAAGAGCCCGCTCCGTCGCCAGCTGCTGTCGAAGGAGTGCCGCCAGCCGCGGGCGTCGTTAAGCCCGGGACCATTATGCGATTAATGCGGAATTTCCGACCTAGGCTGAGGCCGGGCGGGCGGGGCGGGGCGGGGCGGAGCGGGGAGGGGCGGGGCGGGCGGAACGAAACCCGTCAGACCGGAGGCGGGAGGCAGCTCCGTCCCGATCGACGCGAGGCGCTCGCAGCGACCCTGCTGCTGCTCCGCCATCGGCGCAAATGACGACCGGCTCTGCGCTCGGCAACTGCGCAAGGCGCAAACACCGAGTGCGCTGGCGCAGCGGAGACCGGCAGACCTGCGGTTCGCGCAGGGGACGGAATGGGTAATACGTGTGGTGGTGGAGAAAAAAAGGGCCCGAAAATGTTCGTCTTGGTGCCACTGATTCGAATCAAATCCTCTGTTGCAAACGGAAGTGCAATTGAAGGAGAAGAACACCATCTTGTTGTTGTTCATTACATTCGTCAATACGATAAATTTATTTGATATTTAAATGTGTATAAAATAATAAATTACACTAGCACAAATTGCAAATTATGCAAAAATGTACTTAAATTACATTTAAACTGATTAATGTCTTAATGTCTGTAATATATGTTCGTAATTGCAATATATAAAGTTGTTTGTATAAAATACGTACACGTTTGTAAAACTGCTAAAACTTCACAATTAAAATACATGTTTACATTTGTGTTTAAAAAATGTTCTTTATTTTCTGTTACTCATATATTCTGGGTTAGAAAATAGTGTTTATAATAACATACGAATGTGTGCGATATCCAGCTGTTGGTGCACCATCAGAGGTAAAATACTTTTTTAGATATCCAATAGAAAAAGCGGATCTTTCAGCGCATGCGGAGCGTTCTAAAAGTTCAATTTTAAGCACCTGTATCCTAAAAGCGAGGCAATATTTAATTTTTCATATAAATCTGTGAATGAAACAAAGAAAACAAAAAGAACTTCCGTCTGACTACATCAGCTATTACTAACCTTATTGTATTAAGTAATTTGTATACTTGGATTTAAAAAAAATGAAAGTCAGTAAGGCTGTCTAAACAATGGTGTATGACACACGTGGTAAAAGTGATTTTGTGTTGCTCGTATGGTTACGCCCTCGGCTTCGCGTCGCCACATTTCCTACTCGCAAACAATTATTTTTAAACGTTTTCCATGTTGCGGGGCTAACATTTTGAGTACGTATGACTGCCAGCTGAAGTGCGCACCTGGTCAGTGAGGGGCCGGCGTTGCTTCTACCGCAGAATGCGGAGCTCGCTCCAAGAAGCGCGGCGGTCAACACCCCGGGCGCGAGGAAAAACACAGGACTGCATTTTGCGGTCTCTAATGTAGCCCCAGTGAGTACAGGGTGAGTTCCACAAAGAGAAGGCAGAATCGTGTATGGCATGAAAATGAGCTAAGAATTTTAAATTGCTCCTTGTAAACGTAGTTTGAGAATTAAACGGAACATTCTTTTTTTTTAAAAAAAAGGTTGATATTCGGGATATAAATTTACATTTGTGAAGAAGTTATTTAGATTTAAAAGGTTGTAGTTCTCTGTAAATAACGGAAGTTCATTAAAAAGGCAAATGAATTAAATTATCCTGCTGCCATGTAGTGAGAATTTAACGTCACCGATCTTGCAGTTAATATTTGAAATAGTGCGGGACCTTTTCCCTGTCATTTCGAAAACAAAAGTAATAGAAAATATAAAAAAAACATTTTTCCCCCGTAGAATAGTTATTTAAATGAAGGCGAGTCATTTTAGTTGAAAAATATTCACCACCGTCTTTTCCTCAATTAGATGAACAAATGTTTCATTTTACTGAAGAACATTTTGCTTCAGCACAGCAGTTCCTTGTCGATTTTTACTTTTCTCGGCCTTGCTTCGTATGAAGATAAAGTATTGTAATCGTGCGGCGAAAAACGGCAAATTTCTGAATAAAACTCTTACTGCCGGGCCCTAGTAACGAAAGAATTGCTAAATCTTGTTCTTATGTAGAGTAATTTACTTCCTCTGTCACGTGTAGTTATAAATCACGTTTTGTGACCCCTTAATACCGGAAAATCGATTGACACCAAAATGTATCTCCGTTTGTCCGTCTGTCTCCCTGTGGTCAAAACTAGCACCTAAACCAATTTTCTCCAAAATTAATGATCCTCAATCGATTTAAATGAACAAGAGGCCCTTGGAGTTCAAAAACAGATCGGGGTACTTTACATAAAGTCTCAACATTTTCTACATTTTCTAAAAAAAATCCAATTATTTTGTCTTCGGATTGCCTAACGGATACTAAGAGAATGGTGAAGATCTCATTTAGAAATCCCAGATTTTTTGAAAATTGAAAAAGTTGAAATATTTTTACGCGTCTTCCTCCAACTATTGTACAATAATAAAGATAGAGATTTTTTCCTTAATGAAATGAGTTTTTAAAAGACACATCTTAAAATGAGGCCACGTTCAGTTTTTTGAAATTATCATTGTTTTCACGTAATTTTGCGTGAAATACAAGCAATTTAAACAAATGTTAAAAATTGTCTCAGAAACTCTCCAATTTTTTTTCTTTAAATTTTCAACTTGTATGCATCAATGGATGTAATGAGTTTTTGCGTAATATTGCGTCCAATTTGTGCAATTTAAATAGTGACAAAAACAAGATTTTTTCAAAAACCGCTTCAAATATTTTTCTGTAAACTTTGTAAGGAATTGTGGTAAATACACTCAATCAGATGACATAACCTTCATATAGCTCTATACTTTTTTTTCAAAAATTACAAAAATGTATTTTTTTACTTGTCCCTCACGTCTTTAATATTAACATTAGCTTTAATTTGCTCACATTATCAAATTTATGAGTATATATGCTTTAAATAAAGTCATATAAATTTTCTCGAAAATTCAACCATGTCTGAGAAAACTAGAAAAAATTTTGCAATTTCAGAAACGCTCAAACGCCATTTTCTCAATTCAATTTTTTCTTCAAACTTTTCGAACGGATAGTGACTCTGTACGTAATACGATAAAAAGTCCTTTTCGGGATATTTTTTGATTTTTAATAAATTATACAAATGAAATTTTTTAAATATCGTTCACGCCGGTAATTTGCACATTTCTAGCAATTTGTAAACCGTATTACATTTGTGAGTTAATGTGCTTTAAATGACTTCTATTGTAGTTTTTCGAAAACTCAAAACTTTGCTGTGAAAAAGAGCTTCTAATTTTGAATATACTACAGCGCCAAAGTGCCATTTAAGACTTCAAATTTTTCAAAGAAAATTGCCATTTAGGACGCGGTTTACTGTTCTTTAATATTCTTAAAATATTATTACTGTTCTATTATTAGTACACCGAAAAATTAACAAAATTTCAAAAAAAATGTATTTGGGGCGGCGATTGATGGCAGCTGGCAAGTTTGAATAGCTAGCTGGGACGAAAGGAAATAGAAAACTAATACGGGAAAGTCTGTGACGTTAAGAAGCACCACTAGTTTTATCACTCCTCACGCGGGGTTGTGGAGTGAAGCTAATTTTTGTGATGTACTATACAGTATCGTGCACCACACTGTTCCGTAAATTAGTGAGCAAGGCGATTAATTAATAACGAAGAATGACACGTGTGAGAACACAAGAGTAACATTTGTTAATCGGTTTAATTCCTTGCAAATAACAAATAGAGAGACCGGGATGCCTGTTATGTCTGTTACCGAGAATACAACCGCATTAACAGCTGTGCCATTGAATGTGCCATGCTCAAGTAGACATGTTCTACACAGCTATCAATTATTGTATAACTTTTAACAATCTATTGCAACAAAAACTACAATAACAATAAGATTATTTACGTGTTCACGAACATCCGAAGAACTGTATTTTTTTGATTTGCGCGTGGAAATCATGTGGATATTTACATTTTTTACTTAAGCTTTGTTACTTTCGTTTACGTAGTGTTAATAGAGAGCAATGCACGGTAAATAGTGGAGTGTAAATATATTTCGTTTACTAGTAAGAGGTGGCTAGGGCGTGTGATGACTCAGCGTCTCGGTCTGAAGGGTCGCGAGTTCGAGTTCCGCCGTGGGCATGGTTGTTTGTCGCTTGTATTTCATGTACGTGTGTTGTCGCGGAAGGCCTTGTGAGTCAGCTGACCACAGACCAAGGAGCCCGCAGCTGTGCCAGCGTCTACTATGAAGGTTAATGTGTCCCATGAGAGACATTGTGGGTACCTGGCGCAGATCGTCGAAAAATCGGCATCCAGAGATGAAAGTCTGTGGCGTACATGCCACACTTGTTGCAGGTATAAGTACCCTATTATAGCTAAATGTGCGGCAAAAATTAAATCTTCCGCCTTTCCCCGTCTTAATCGGAGCTCATGTTCGATCAGCAACGGAAGGCTGCAGCCATCGAATGAAATGACTGATCTTTTTGTTGCGTCGATCCCAAGTGGCGAATTCGGGCGTTTAAAAATTGTTAACGTTGCACACGCATGAAGTGCCAGAATCGAAAACTTTAAACAAGATAGCTCATGAACAGGGAGAGACAATGAACAACTTCTTAAACAATATGTAAAATGTTGTTTCTTTTTAGTGATGTGTGTAATCGAACATTGGTTTATTGGTGAAATAGTGTTTATATTTGATGAAACGGCGTTCTGAATCTAATATTTTTAAATTATTTTATATATATATATATATATATATATATATATATATATTAAAAATGTGGGTACTGACGACCCCGTTTATTCAAAGACGTGTGTATCGGAACGTGTCGCGTCGAGCGCCAAAGGGGGAGGGTTGGCGTACCTGCGAGAAGGAGAGCTTCCGGCGCTGCGGGCAGGCCTCGGACACGCAGAGGTGGCGCGTGCCGTTGGCGCGCGTGTGCTTGTGGCGCTCCAGCCGCCGCCGGTGCAGGTCCACCAGGAACAGCGCCAGGCTGCCCAGCAGCACGCACGTCGAGCTGAAGTAGTAGCCGGCCTTGCCGCCGCACCCCACGTTGATGTAGCCTGCGGGCAGCGCCACACTCCGTCAAGCGCTTGCTGCACGCGAAGCATTATGGAGGGCCACTCAATCTAATTTTTTTGTGTTTGATTATTCGCGTTATATTTATGTTTTTTCATATCTGTTTCTTTTAAAATTAAAAATCAAAATTAAATGTTTGGTTCGTTTTACAATTGAAATTCCATTCTTTGTTCAACTGCTACTCAGTGCACCTCATTTGATTGACATAATAAAAATAAAAATAATAATTATTAATACTATTATTATTTACACTTTAATACGTAGACTTAATAATTTGAGTAATTTCATATTTTGGATCTCCATAGGTGTGCTAGCTTTGCGTAGTTTGGACATAGTTCAGAGACATATTATGTGTTATTTTTTCCCCACACTTAACTTACGTTCTTATTTATTAATAAAGTACTGTGTAATGTGCCATAAAATACTTCTAAAGTAGGAGTTAAAATTAAATTAGTTAATATGAAATTTACTTTTACATAACATTTTCAGGTAAGATTGGTTAGATATTGAATTTGTGTAGAGAAAATGGCTGGATCATTTAAATTGAAACGTCTTTTGCCATTTCACCATAAAGAATTGCACTAACCATAATCAGTGCACCTTAGGTTTATATAAGAAGTAATGTTCATTGCTTCATTCCCAAACGAGACTCTTTAATTAATATAAATATATAAAAGAACATTATAAGAGAAAACGTACGTATTTCACAACTCATTGATTCTGTTTCCTATTGTAATTTTTCCACGACGAAAAATGGAAACTTGCTTTCTTAAAGAGGATATATCATAGAGTCTGAAAGACTGATCGAGAAGCTATTTGTTTCATCGTAATTTTTGCATATTTTACCATTACAAAGAAAACGAGAGTTATACCCTTTTATCACTGAACTCTATTTTTCATTTCTTATTGCAAAGCCCGAAGTGGGGATTAAAATAAACTGGAGACAAATATTAAAATAATGAAACATACTTAACATATTTCTAAAACTATCATTAATTAGTCTGAAATATTCTTAAAATATGAATTATATAATGGGTGAGAAAGATTACCTTTTAATGTATTAATAGTCATTCTTTTCATTTCTTTTAATTTCCATTTATTTTCCACCCTACTTCACATACAGTTTTCACTGTTTTTTTACTGAATAAATTTAAAACTAAATCTAAATTATTTGTTTATTGATTAATTATCACAGTTTTCAGTATGTTTCTAGAAACATATTAACATTTTGAATGTAAAACAATACAATTAACGAGAAAATGGGGAACGGCAAAGCAAATTGCGCGTTCAACCTTCATTTTATTTTTCTTGAACTATGGAATTGGATGACTTGATTGGTATTTTTAATAAATATTATTTTACTGTTAATAAATTTAATATTGTAGGAATTTTCCATAGAGAGATTTTCCATGAGGGATATGAGAAAGGTAATTTTGGAAAACGAGTTGATATCAGAAAAAAGCAAAACCCATTGGTACCGTTCAGAAATAATTGTAAACGTTACCGCACGTGTTGTCTTGTTATTCGCGATAATTTATTTATAATTATAGAACATGAGTTTTACCGCAATTTAGAATTTGTTACGAACTAAAACAGTCAATAGAATTTTGTTGAGAATATCTCATCAGTAGATACTTCATAATATACATATATTCTTCACATTTAACCCGGAGATCTTTTACAGGGGAGAACGTTTATTTTAAATGATTTCCGGAATGTTTCAACTGAGTCGCATAGAACGGTATTCACTAGAAGACTAATTAAAGTTTATTATGTTTTATATTTTCTATCGACAAAATATTTCAGTTATGTTATCGTCATAAATAACTTCAGCAGATAACAAGAAATTATACGAAATTCTCGGTAACTGTTGACAGAAGATATTATAGTTAATCAACACTCACAAGTTGTGTTAACGTTAATTAACAAAATTACTTTTTAAGTTTCTCAATTCGTTGAGAATATTCAGCGATAAGATTATGAATTAGAAAACAGAACTAACATTGCCCTATCATGTCTCTAGCTTTTATACACAACTTATTGTAAAAAAAATTGTACCTCAATACAAAAGTATCGTTCTCATTCAGTTCTTTCCGCATGCTTGTCCACGTTATAATGCGGAGTGCAAATTATAATAAATTACCATTTTGAGGACTTGTTATTGGGTCCCAATAAAATTCAGTACCCGTGCAAGTTCTAAGATGCCTAATGGTTGTCAGAAAACTTACAAAGAAACGAGTTCAAATTCAAACATATTCTCAAATTTTCAACAGTTATTATCTTTATCTACATGTACTAATTAGCTAAAGCTAAAAATGCGGGTGCTAGATGCGACCAAGTTAGTGAAGTTTCTCACGATAGTACAGTGTACTATGTACGACTTCCCGCTAGATAAGGAAGCTGCAGTATGATATACGATAATGATAAGACGCTAGCGCCATTAAAGGACGGGTACAGGGAAGTAGTGAAGTGACAATTACAAGCAAGAAGCTCACAAAACCGCAGAAGTTTCTAGGGAGGGTGTAAATCTTATTTTTGTTTGTAACTTAACTTTCTGCAATGCGCAATTTTGGTGTTCGCTGGCAATTTTCAGGTCTTGCATAAAGAAAATTCTTTACATTATTTGTTATGTTATTGCACAATTCTACGTACATTACATTCTACGAACATGAAATATTTTATACTTAATGACGTAATAATTGGAAAGAGTATTACTGACTTGAACGCCTTTTACGTGAAACTTTCGGCAAATTTGTTAAAAATGTCAATGACTAGCTGACACATCTATAAATGTAAACGATTTAACGACTAATTAAAGAAGTTACAATTGTAAAAAAGAACGAAACATTTGCCACGATTTTGATGAAAATGATTTACATTAGTTATTGATCACCGTCAGTGATAATAATTTTCTTTACGATTTGAAAATATCCTCATTGATCTGTTGTCTTTAAGTTTTCAAATTCTAACGAGAAATATTTCTACAACACCATCGTCTTTTTTAAGCCTGAACAGAGTACACTTCGAACTAATATACTACGCCCGTTAGTGAATGTTTGTAATTGACTCATTGCCATAAAAAAATGTACATTTAGTTTGCCGCCATCTCAGAAGTATCTACAAGATTCCATGTTATCTTTGTAGCCAATAAAGTTAAAAAACAACAGGGTTTCCTCATATTCTCTTACTAAATTACACGAACCAGGAGCGTTCGACTTATCCCCATGTCTTAATCTCGAATCCGAGAAACTTAATGAGAAACCCGAAGGCTCAAGACGATTAAATAATAAACGAACTGACCAGCAAAATTAAAGCACACGCTACCCCATAAAAAACGAAAATTAACCCAATCAGCCCGTAACTCACGGCGGACGAAGCGCGCAGCGGCCTGTGAGTTACGGCTGCCGAGGCCGTCGGCTGCAAAAAGGGCAACACGATCTGCCCCGAGCGCCGCGGTATCGCGCAGCCGCAACAGAGCAGAGCCAAAGATGCGGCGCGCGATAGCCTCCGCGCAGCGTAACTCCCACCTGCCACCGTGGCTGCGCGCCGCTACCAGCCCACCGTCAGGCAAGCCCGCTCGACCACCATCCGCCTGCTCGCCCACCCGCTCGCTCCCCTGCTCGCCCCCGCTCGCCCGCCCCGCCCGCCCACCCGCTCCTCGCCCCCCTCTCGCTCGCCCGCCCGCTCGGCTCGCCCGCCCGTTTAACCACACGCCACACCGCACGCACGCCACCGCCACGCCCACTCGCTCGCTTTACGCCCACTCCGCTCGCTCGTCTCCGGCAAAGCCCGCTATCTGCCCACCTACCTGGCTCGCTCTTCCCCGCTAAGCGCGCTGTGCGTCGGCCATGTGAGGACCTTGCCCTCCGCCACCTCGATCGTTCCCGCCTGCTCCGCACCACCATTCGCCAGCTTTACCCGCTCACCCTCCAGCTCTCTCGCCCACCCACCAGATGCCGGCCCGCTCACCTATCAGCATTGCTTGCCTACCTATTTCCACTTCTCTTCCCAAATCATGCAAGTTCACCGGGCAAAGCCTGCCCTTCTATCCTCCTGGCTCGCCCGCCCTCTCGCCCGCCCACCCGACCAGTACGCTCTTCCCTCCACGAATGGCGTACCTAGCCAACCCACCCATTTAGACGTGCCAAAGCTGCCCACCCTCTTGCCAATTGCCTGCCCACCCGCTTGCTGGCCCAACCCCTCCCTGTCCCTCCGTTTGCTTGGTCCGTGACCCTCCTCCGTCACTTACTTACTCTCCCGCCTTTTTAGACACATGTCCACTCATCCATTTCCTATTTTAGCCAACCACTTCCTGCCCGTTTGCGCGGTCCCACCTACCGCCCAGTCGGCCTTCTTTTCCACGTTTTCGCCCGCCCAACTGCAACCCCGCCCGTACGTGCACTCACTTTCCACCAGCTTCCCCACGCACCCACTCTTTTTCCTGCCCGTCCGCGATCAGGGTGCACTGTTCAATTAGAACGCACGTGGCTAGGCATGGTGGACGTTAACTACTGACGCTAACTAATGCGGGGCCGAGTGGAGAAGCGCTCATAGTATCTTTCTATTTTAAAACATCCGGAAAGTTAGGAAACTTGTGCTTCTAACCATTTAAGATTAATAATTAAATGGTAATCGCTCAGCTTCTTATTTAATAAAGTCAAGAAAACCCGTTCTTTGATAATTTCATTTGCAATCTTAGCTATCTTTGTAGTGTCTTTTGTTTTTTATGAAAAGTGAAACTGAACTCTTTCGACAAACTTCTTATAGCTCACCGGTAGAAAGGGGACAAGAATAGACGATACAAATATGCAAATTCTATTTTAAAAATGCAGTTTACGAACAAGATTATTCGGATAGTTTACAATCCTTCATCCCTGAATCACTATGCTTCAAATATACCTCTGGCTCTACTGATAAACGATAAGCGTCATCAACAACATTATTCGGTTTCAGTGTGCAGTGGGTTGCATCCAATTTTAATGTTCTTCGTAAGTCTGTCGGTCGAGTCCGAATTACATTCTGTTTACACTGTTATAGAGAATACGGCAAAATATTGACTTATTAATTTTCAATGTTAGTTCGTTCATACTGAAGTATATCTGCTTCTGAGTAATGAAGTAGTTACATGTTTTACCAACCTAGTTTCCAAATGTTCTGCTCTTCTAAACAATCCAAAAAAGTAAATCTAAAAGATCAATGAACAGTCCCCAAGCACAAAACGTCTCAATGCATTCGAGGTCCACTCAAGCTCTGTAATTCTTACTTCTTTAAACAAATAGACAAGCAAATAGATACTATAATAGATTTTAAAAGAAACTTTTTGCAATTTTATTGGTTGCTGCACAAACGAGTTTTTTAAATTCAATTTATTTAAAACAGTGTCTAATTAATAAATCCATTACTTTCAAATAATACAATTTAATACGTGAACAATTTCAAAATAAAACATATACAAGGCGTTCTTTATATCTACTATTACTACTTTTTTAAATAAGAAAAACTTTAAATTAAAGATTTCCTTAAATATAGAAAATACAAGAACTATTTTAAATTAAAGAAAAAATAATTAAATTAGTAGTTGTTTTAGAGTTGGAATAAAATTAAAATAAACGTAGCAATAAGCACCGTTTGGAAGCACCATTGCTGAGGAAGGCAGGCGCCGCGGGGGCGCGCGGACTCACCCGAAATGGGCACGCCCAGCGCCACCGGGATGGCCTGCGAGCACTGCACGAAGCCCCAGGTGCGCGCGAAGTTGCGTGCGCGCACGCGCTCGTACGTGTACATCTTGAGCGAGTAGTGGTAGCCGCCGCAGAAGATGCCGTAGATCCACGCGAACAGCACGTAGCCCGGGTACGAGCCGCGCACCGCCGTCAGCGCCAGGATGCTCAGCCCGCACATGAACACGGCCGCCTGCGGGCACGCGCCGCGCCGCCGGCTGACACAACGCGCTCTGCCGCGGAGGTGGCGGGGGGGGGGGTCGTTACGCAGTGAGAATGTAATAGGAGAAAAACCTTTCTTTTTTAAAATTGTTGAATTAAATAAATATTTTTTTAAAACATTTATTACATTTTTACTTACGTTATCAAGCATGAGATAGTTAATCACGTAAATCAATTAAATAAAAAATACTGATTTACATTACAATTCGAATCATATAATTGCAGTTTTTTTACTACTTTTCATCCACACTTCACTAAATGACGTTTTTTTTAAATATTATTTTTTAGTTATTAAAATATGGCGTTAAGTTTTGTTTCTAAACTTTAGAGAAACAAGTAGTTTTGAATTAACACAGTTCATTTTACCAAAAAATATAAAAATTTCCAATGTAACGTTAGGCTACTCAAATCTATAATCATTCAAGATATAACTCATATGAGCTTATAAAACTAAAATTTAATTTGTATTTAATATAACGTGGAATATTTGATATTATTGTAATAATTTCATTTATTTAAATAGCTCAAAATGTTTAAAATTAAGTACATCAAAAATTATATTAAAAATTAATAAACTCACCATAATCATTTGTCATAATTTTGTCACAATGGTTATCTTTTAAAATTAAAATTCGATCAGAAAATTGTAATCAATTATTTCTAACAATTAGTAATGTAGCGGCCATTATTCATTGTACAATATCAGCGGTTATTTTTTCTGTGTAGGAAAATACAATGGACAACAATAATGTAAAAAACATCAAATTTACGTAAGAAAATATGAAATTTTTTTTGAATTTATTGACGAGGAAATTTTATTTTTCATAAATGAAAATGCGAGTAAATAGTATTGGGCAAATTTTATTATTTATTGGTATACGTATACTATTTTATTGTTTATAAATTTAAATTAAATCAGAAAATAGTGTTATATCAACTGGAGAGTTTACTTATACAAATGTTGATAGAAAATTATAATGCAATTATAAGATTATTATAATATTAATTCCACATTTTGAGTTCAAACTGATGTGTTGACTTTACTTTGCAAATATTTTTGGCATTCTTCTTTATTATTTCTTAACCATAAACCCTAGGAAACGTTCTCGAATTTCAGAGTAAACATGTTTGATGTCTCCTGACTATATCATACGCATATATTTCAATTGGACCTCGGCGTCATCAAAGTTAAGTTTGAGTTTCATGTAGGAAGCAACTATATTTTGCTAATAAATTGAAGTTCACAAACAGCATGTTTTCGTTGAAAGGTTTCAAATATCAATAGTCTTTCACGCTTTCTGTTATCTATTTAATATATATTTTCGATCTCCAAACACCTATGAAGACGTTTGAGTTATTAACTACCATGACTTCTAAGATAACCTTCGACAGATATCATCGATTTGTTGGGTCATTGAAAGTAAGTGTCTTTTCTTCCGACACTGTGAAAATACTAAGAATTCTCAATAGCAAAACAGCTTAAAGGATATTTTCCTTCGATTTCTATATCTGGTGAAGGTGGATATCTTTTCCTAACAGACACGGACGCACTCGAGCACATACAGGCGTACACACTCCCAGAATACAAATTCGCTTCCAGAATTCGCCTTGACAGGTCGTTGAAAGATATGGAAGGTCGAGCACGGGTGCCCCGCACCGACTCTGAGGAACACGACGAGAAAAGAATAAAGAAGCACCGAAGAAGAAAGATCCGGGAGTCGCGGAAGGAAGCTGACGGATGAACGTGAGAGTGAGAGTGTGAATGGCAGGGATAGGAGGAGGAAGGACGGCAGGAGGACGAACGCAAAGGTGGGAGATCGGAAAGAAAAAGCGTGAAGACGGGGATGGACGTGATGGAGAACGAGGATAGACGTGAGGAAGGGGGGTGAGTACGGGCGTGAAGACGGGCGGGCGGATGGTCAGGTGGACAGGCAGGAGGACGGCTGGGAGGACGGACCTGATGACAAACGGGGGATGGACGGGAGGACTCGCGGGAAGACGGAAGGGAGTACAACTTGACGAAGCGAGGTCGGAAGGGAGAACCGACTGTCAGGCAGAAGGACAGACAGGAGGACGCGCAGGTGAACGGGCGGGAGCACGGCCGGGAGGACGGACAGGAGGACGAACGGAGGCGGGCAAGCTAACCAAGAAACGCGAGTCGGGAAGCGGGAAGGGGCAAGGGAGAAGAAATATCCGGGTGCTGCGGGAAGGAAACGGGCGGGCCAGAGCGCGCGGGCGAGCAAAGAAAGGAGTTGCAGCCCGGAGGACATTCGGAGGTGATTTGTGGCGCAGTTAGCGTCGACTACCGGCGCCACTTTCACGAGAGCTCCGCCGCCACCGCCTTCAGCGACTTCTCACTGCCTTCGGCGACTTCTCTCCCTTCCCCTCCTCAACCCCCACCCCGGCGGCCCTGCTCCCTCGGGGCGCGGTATTTGTAGGAGTGGGCGGTGCTTTGTATTGGAGGACGCAATATAAAACGTGTCGTCGAAGGGGAGTAAAGCTAGTGTGTTTAGCGTTTAAATCCGACAAGTAAAATTGTCGATTTTATGTGGCATTATTTGCGATTATTATAAATATAACAATAACCATTTTATAAAATTGATACGTATTAATTATTTTTTAATTTTTAAATTTTAGTTTGCGTATGATTACTGAACTGTATGATTACTTAAAGCAATATTCAATACTGCTTTATTATTTTCCAGAACTGCTTTAACTAACTAATTATTTTTCTACAGAGCCATCATATTATATTTCGGTTAGTTATTTAACTCACTTCAGAACTATCATTCCTGTATTACTTTTCTCTTATATCACTGTTTGTGCAGGTAAATTGTGTAGTGCCCTTATGTGTCATACAATGAGTGTGAAGTAGTATAGTAAAATTGTTTGAATCAATAAAAAAGCTTAACTGGTTCATCATTAAATTAACACTTTGACTTAATGACATACAAAAGAAATAACGAATATCTTTCGCAATATCCTTTAATCAACCGGTTAACAATCCTTCTCTCCAATGAAAAACACGTTCATTTCTTTTGTTGGGCTTCCGTGAACGTCTGGAACTAGGCAGGCAGAAGCAATACTTCTACAGCTTCGACCGCAGGACATGTTCTTCACTTGCCGCCTCAAGCAACGACAACTTCTCACCGTCGTGTTCACTTAACGGCCGCGTTGACATTAATGAACACAAAGGAATGTTCTTTAGATTACATCGCGATTGTGAGGTTTGAAGCGCTTATTTTAGACCTGCACAAGGGCCGCATAAATCCAGAAACCGCTTCTGTACGCGATGAAGCACGTCCAAGAAAGCCACAAGCGATGAATGGGCTTACGATTTGTGCGTAAATGGGGCAAAAATCAGAATAGCCCTGCATAAAATATCGCAACACATCGCGGTAAAAACTTGGTTGCATGAAACAGGTGGCCGTGATTTGCAAAGCCCCAGAAGAACTCTAATTAAAGAGAAACAAGTGCTCTTTTACGAGCGCGAGGGTAGCCGAGCTCCGGAAGATGAAAACCTGTAATTTGCGGGACCATTAGAAAGAAAATATCGCAGCGTCTTTTTCTATTGGAATAATGCCCTTTCCTGTGGCGACCTAAAACGTGATCGTTAGGCTTAAGTTAGGAGGAAGCTGCTAATGGGGTTATCTTGTTTTGCATAGTTATTCTGGCATTTCCCGTAATCTATGGCGAGTGTTGAGATGTCAGGCATTTTAGATTTTTGTAAGATATTGTGGTGGACACATTAAAACATTCTGTATATATGAATACTCGGATAGTAAGAGGAGGCCGACGAATCACGACGAAAATATTGTTCTTCTAAGAAGTTAGGATAATAACGATAATAAAAGTATCAAACAGTAGTGTTACAATGTTAAATTATCAACAGTAGGGTTACAGTGTATTATGTTGTGTCACGTATTTCAAAACAAAATGAATGTGTTAAAACGAGAGCGGTATAAGTGACATTTTATAAATTCTGAGAAATCTATTTATTTAAGACAATATCACCGTAAAGTTGTGGTGCTTTGTTTCATTATTAAAACCAAGGCATTTCAATTGTTCATTAAAACTACGAAAATACATCGCCTCTGACATATAGCCTAAAATAAGCACTATTTCCCAGAATTTATAAAATGTCACTTTTACCGTTCTGGTTCTCACACATTAAAATGTCAATACTGAAAGCAGAGAAATATTTAAAAATAGTTTTTAGTTATAGTTAACATTTTAGTTTTTGATATCAGTATACACAATATTTAATACTCACTAGAGAATTACTATTTAATTATTAAACGTATTGTTTCATGTAGTTTAAGCGAATAAGTGTCGAAATTTTCGGGAAATTTATTTGAATTCCATTAGAACAAAAATGTAAACATCATAATGTTCTTTAAGGTAGACATCAATTGAAAACTTAAATATTTCTTTGTTACAAGAAAAGGAAAACGGATAAGATATTTTCAGTTGAGAACAATGAGCACTAGTAATTATGCAGTATCTGTAAGAGAAGAAAAGATCCTCGACATTGCGACCAGAAGCTGTCAGACATCTTCATAAAAGGTGTTTATGTCATCTGGTTACGGGCATTAAGTAATAAATACGTAAGGCAATCATAAAAACATAATTAACTGATGTGCCATTAAAATACTATTATAAATTACACCAACGATATACAGCGTTTAATGTTCTCTGTGTGCTGTCTGCACGTGTTACGTTCATTAGGTTTGAAAGGATATGACACTTGTGTTTATTCAATGAGAAACATAATTTTTTAGATGAGCTGATGAGCTGAAAAGCTTAACAACATGTACATTTAATAACTAAACACAATGTTAATATAATGAATAAAATTCAAAATCTGTAGTAAAGCGTAAATGAACGTCATTATTACCATGTTTTTGAGAAATTTAATTAATTTTTCGGTAAATGTACATCGCGGAATAGACGAATCCACTTGTGGTCACAAAACTAGGGGAAAACGAAGGCTGAGTAGTTGCATAATGCGACTGTATTGCTGGCGCAGAAGCCTCGTCCTCACCTGGCAGAGGTACTGCCGGGCGATGCGGCACTCGACGGAGTTCTGCACGACGACGAGGCCGAAGGCGGCGCAGCCCAGCGCCCACGCCAGCCCCAGGTAGGCCTGCAGCAGCACGGCCGCCTCGCCCAGCCCGTCCTCCTGCACCTGGTGCGCCTGCGGGCATCGCCACACCCTACACGTTCGCCAGACTACACCGCTGCTCGCGTTCATGTTCACTTTTTACCGTTCGCGTTCACGCTCACCATCATGTTCGCGCCCACGCTGCTCGCGTTCATGTTTCACCTTTACGCTCACTTTCGCGTTCACGCTCACCATCATGTTCCGCAGCCCACCGCTGCTCGCGTTCATGTTCACCTTTACGCTCTCGTTCGCCTTCACGCTCACCATCACATTCGCGCTCACGCTGCTCGCGTTCATGTTCACCTTTACGCTCACGTTCACGTTCACGCTCACCATCATGTTCGCGCCCACGCTGCTCGCGTTCATGTTCACCTTTACGCTCACGTTCGCCTTCACGCTCACCATCACGTTCGCACTTACGCTGCCCGCATTCATGTTAACCTTTACATTCACGTTCGCCTTCACGATCACCATTACGTTCGCGCTCACGCTGCTCGCGTTCATGTTAACCTTTACGCTCACGTTCGCCTTCACGCTCACGTTCGCCTTTACACTCACATTCGCCTTCACCCTCACGTTCGCCTCCACGCTCTAGTTAATCTTGACGCTGACAGCCACCTTCACGGTCACGTTCATCTTTACACTCACGTTCATCTTCACGCTCACATTCACGTTCATCTTCCCGCTCACGTTCACGGTCACCTTCACGTTCGTCTTCATACTCACGTTCATCTTCACGCTCACGTTCATCTTGACGCTCATGTTCACCTTCACCTTTATGTTCATGCTCAAGCTCACGATTACGCACATGCTCACACACACACACACACACAATTTAACACCCCATGCACGTGCTCACGTTCAAGTTGGTACAGACTCGCCAAACGAGGCGGATGTTCCTTCTTGCTAACTCGTGCGAGAACAAGATGTCAGAAAACCTCTGATAAAACATTTCAATAGTTAACATTCACAAAAATAGAAATAGGGAGATTCATTAGAAACTTATTTTCTTGAGTGTCTATAAAAGCATTTTGAAGCGTAGTATATTGAAGAATTACTAATATTTATATTACACAAAGCTCAATTGTTCACTGTTGAATACATTGCTTCTTAGTAATTATTATTCACTTATACAACGCATGTTGTATTCTACTAATTAGTTGATTGTGTATTTGGATTATATTAGACGATATATGGTGGATTGCTTTTCCTTTTCTTTCGAAACCTCAATCACAACGAACAAACATCTGAGTGTTACGCAGGATAGGGGTGAATCAGCTCAACACCACAGTTTACCATCCGCTATTACTCCGGCAGCAATCAGCGCTATGCACATCAGTCTCTACAATGCTGTGGATCAAATTAATTCTTATAATTTCATCTGGAAGGCAAATAAATAAATAAATTGTTCATCTTTATGACAAGAAGAAGTAATGTACCAAGGAGAAAGATAAGAATGCAAGGACAAGAGGTAAAAGAAACACGAAATGATTAGGAAAAACATGAGATGTGTAAGCAGGAAGAGAGAGAAAGAGAAGCAGAAATAGAACGAGAAAGGGAAGAGGAAAAGAAGGGGTGCAGGCTATGTGAACAATGACAGAAAGAAGAAAACGAAAATGAGAAGTGGAAAATTTAGGGAAAATGTACTTAAAAACCAGGTTGAAGTAGGCGGAGATGTCAAGACAGAAGGCAAAAGGAGCAAGTGAAGGTAAATGGAAATGAAGCAGAAGAAGAGGAGGAAGAGTAGGCCAACTACACCAGGTTCTCGATGTACCAAGTGAAATGAATTGAGGTTGAAAGATGATGCAGTCTTTAGATCAATTGACTGATTGGGGGAATTATGGTAGTTTGAATCCGTCTTTGGGGTTTTAATAGGTGGGGAGTGGGTTGTGACCTAGACTGAAGATTAAGAAGCACGAGGAAGGGTGAAGGTTTTTATTAACATTGTGAATATTCGTGTTACGGGGTCCTTAATAAAGACATATTTAATTATCTGCGAATCTGTATGATTGGAATGAACCAAGGGCATTTAAAGTTCTGCTTAAAATATGTTTTGAATAGCTGTTAATTTTTGAAGGTTGCTAGAGGCAGCGCATCTCCAAACTGGACATGCATAAGGCATGACAGCACAGGCTTCCGCGGATGGAGTCAGTATATCCTTGGCAGACCGGGAGACGCCGTGTCCTAGACACAGAGTCCACGTTTCGGCCGCAATTCTGCGACCTTCCTGAGGGGGGAAAAATGCCATTTCGACCACTATGACACGGCGTCACCCGGATAGCGAAGTAGCTAATGCGTAATGTACACGTAAGCTTCCGCGGCTCGAATCCATAAATTCTCGGCTATCCGGGTGACGCCTGTGTCACTGCCCTGAGGGAGCCTGCGACATGTCAGGCAAAACGTCGGCCTCCCAGCCAACGACGCGGCACCTCCCGGATATCCGAGAATTTAGAGCTAATGCGTAAGTCACTGTTGGTAGAATTAAGGATTTAAATAATATTAGTCGGCACTGAACTTTCAATGACGCCCGCGCGTGAATTGCACTCACCAGGTAGAAGATGGGCGTGTTGAGCCCGAAGGCGCTGATGCCCGTGGACACGAGCAGGATGCGCACGGTGCGGCTGCGCAGCGTGCTGAAGTCGAAGAAGGGCGGCCGGTCGTCGTGGCGGCTCTTGTCCTTGATCTTGCGCTTCTGGTTCTTGAGGTGCAGGATGGCGCGCCGCTGCGGGTGGTACAGCGACGCCGACCGGTAGAAGGTGCCCAGGATGAAGGTGAGGAAGACGGCGCCCGTCACCGCCTGCAGTCCCAGGCGCCAGCCCACGGCGCTGCCCGCCCGCACACCGCACCGTCAGCGCCCACGCCCGCGCCCGCCCGCCACGCCCCCGTCAAGCGGACACGTGCGCGCGCCCAAGACGGGATGTGGAAGCGAAACTCTATTCTTTGATTTAAACGTAGAGTCAGTTGACGTAAATCTGTTCGATGTCATTCAATCGGGAGCTTGGAATCACCTGCAGTGGTTTAACGACGCTTAAAGCTCCGGATTAGTTGACACCGTAACAGCTAATCAAACGTCAAAAGTCTGTAAATAAATCAAGTATAGATTCCGCCTTCAAGCCAGAAGCGTGGTGGGCAGCGCCAGGGACTCCGGAATTCTAGCGCTTTTAGGGGTTTTAAGACCTTTAAGTCTTCTAGAATTTCTAGAGGTTTCAGGCTTAAAAGGTGTTGTTGAAGTCTGAGAATTCTGGAGGCTGTCCGCCCGTCATGCCCCCCTCATGTTGACACGTAACACGCTTGCTCGCGCTAGCGCTTATCTCAGGATATCGAAGTGAAACTTAGGGTTCCATCAAGCATAAGCGTGGTAGGTAGAGTTAAGGAGACTCGAGATTCTAGCGCTTTAGGATTGTTGGGACTTAAAAATTCTGAAGGCCTCAGGTTTTAAGGGTGTTGACGGTATTGATACTTTCAGAATTCTGGACGTCTTAAGTTGCGAGTACCTTTGAATTCTTGGAGTCTTAGAATTATAGAGGCTACGCGCCCTCCACGTCCCCCTCACGCTGACAAGCAACGCGCTCGCTCATTCGCGCGAACACGACAGGGCGTTAAAGCGAAACTCTGGAGTCGCTTTCAAGCAGAAGCATGGAGGGCAGTCGACAGGGGACTCGGAATCCTAGCGATTTAGAATTACTCAGATTTCTAGAGGTCTCGAGTCTCAAAGGCCGTAACATTATATTGAAGCCAGAGCATTCTCACGCGCGCATTATTACATCGAAGTGACACTGGTGTTGCCGTCAAGCAGAAGCATGGAGGGCAGTTTTCAGCAGGCTCTGGATTCTAGCACTTTAGGCCTTTAGATCTTTAGAATTCTGGAGGAGTCATGCTTCAAGGGTATTGCTAAAGCCTGAGAATTTTGGAAGTTTCGGGTTGCAAGTACCTTAGTGTTATTAGAGTCTCGAAATTCTGCAGGTCTCAAGTTTCAAGTGTTGTAAGATTATAGGAATCTCAGAATTCTGGAGGTCTCGGGATTCAAGTGTCTTACATTATTGAAGTATCAGAATTTTGCACGCTTCAGGTTTCACAATGGCCTGGGCTTGGCAAGAACACGATAGATATAATGACCTCAAGATTCAAAGGGTCTACGATTTCAGCGACCCTAGACTTTTTGGAGCTTTGTAATTGATGGGACCCGAGAATTATATGGACCTACATATTTCAGACACTTGAAATCATAAAGTCGTTTTTACTTCAGAAAAAATGACAAATTAAAACTTTTTGAAATGTAGAAATTGTTTTAATAAATAATAGAAATAATTATAAATATTCAGGATATTTTGCTACCTTTTATAGCTCTTAGCGTAGAGTCTCTATTGATTTGATTTACCCAGGGACTTCTTTACAGTTAAGACGACTCCGTCAAAAATATGTCCTTTGAAAACATTCCTTTGAAACCAGACACATAACCCTACGCGAAAGTCATAGCAACCATTGTCCATGAGATCTGTGCTGGCCCAGAAAACCCGCTTTGAAAATTCTTACCAATGCGACATTTTGTTCAACATGCTTACATCTTCTTTGAGACAAATGTCAATGAAGGCCACAACTTCGAGAAAGAAAGGCCGGCAACCTTTTTCCAGCCATTTTCCACGCAGGATTTCACGCAGGCTGCTAGCTGGTTGGCAGTCAGCTGTACAGTCGCCGCTGTACAGTCGCCGCTGTACAGTACTGTTCTCAGGGCGTGTCTCGTGGAAGAGTGCGAGGATACGCAATGTGTTCAAGACAGTGCGTTGTGCACGGCGGGAAACAAAATGACCTCGCTTACGATGACTCAATATTCTAAGAGGAGACAGACTAAATGTTTTTGCTTTTCGGGACCTAGTTGAAGGGGACATCAAGAGAGAATCTAATACGACAAAAGCTCTTTCTCTACAGATGAAGTTGGACGTTGCATTGGAGTAAGTATGGTTATGTAAAGCAATTGCCTTCTGAGCGGCACCAGTCGACTGTGCTTCACAGCTACTGTTTCATGTCACGTATCGAAACTTAAAACCGACCGGAGGGGCAGGAATTTTCACTGTTCTACAAACTATGAGTATTTTCTCGCTGTCTTCAGGGGGTTATAAGACGGTAGACACTGTCTAGCCAACTTTCATTCAGTTAGATGCAATCGGATATACAGAACTTCAAGAACTTTCGAGAACTTTTTCCGAGATCTCAGATGAATGTACACAAGTTGTTGCTGAATATTCGAAATACCTGCCGCCTAGTTTGTCTCCTTTGTGTACCGACTGGTTCAAAAGTGCAACAATGACCTACATTCGTATTAAAAATGTATGAAAACCTATTTCTAAGAAAACATGTGACACTCATCTAGCCCTTCACTTTTCCCCTTCCCGAAAAATCCTTGCAAAATGCCTTCCAAACACGTAGGACATTCCAATATTCTCATCAAGAAAGTTTGAAACGGCCTGCGCCTATTAGCTAATTGCATAGTCCAAATCATTCGCTCGTTTTTGAACACTTTCTAATAGACAATTTTAATCGTTCATTTACTTTTTCACTGCAGCGCGTTTGCATTTAAACCAACGCACAGAACGGGTTACATTTGAAACTTGTCAGAAGGTTTTCGCGTACCTCCAGAGCAGTATGATACCCTCCGCATCTCATTTTAATTTCCATCATTATCTTGTACATGCACTGAAGTTCACATTTTTAGAACATTCCGAAATTGCAGCTGCGAATTCGATGCTCGCGAGTTTGATTTACATGGGGCGAGTGTTTGCTTTAATGTTTAGCTTCCAGATTCTAAACTCCCTCATGAAAAATGCGCATTAGAATATCAATTATATCATGCAAAGGAAACTAAAACTTTAACCTAAAGGAAAAAGAAAAAATAACTATTGAGTGCGTTATTATCGCATTTTACAATCCGAGTCTTCGAGTTAAAATTTCTGATCTAAAGAAAATCGATGAAAGTTTCAAACCTCAAGGAATTTGAATCATGAAAGCTTGAGATATCGAGATTTAAAAGTATCACTAATTTATCACTATAGGGGCTAATAGGGTCAAGTTTTGAATATATTCTTTAAGCTATTCTTACTCGTCAACAATTCAAAGCTTGAGATTGCGCGGCGTAAGTAGACGTAATTGACGCATTAAGTTTTAGCTTCCTCCTTAATCGCAAAAATCATCTCAAGCATATTGATTTTATAGTAGGTTCTGCAATTTTTTTCATAAACAGTATTAATATGTGTCTGCTATGTGTCTGTCCCCTGCGAGTCATTCGAAGTTTTTTGCGGGCACGATCCGAGCTAATGTAACCCGTACGAACAGTGCATTTACGAGTGCGATGAAGAAAACTTGGGTCAGCGGTGACTTACCAGATGATACCGCGAATAAAGACAGACATGAGAAGGTTAAAATTACAAGGAATTCGAATTACAGAAGCCTGAGTGATCGAGGTTTCACAGCACTGAAAATTTACACAAATGACGTTTAGTGGTTAGGCATTTTGGAACAACTGTATCTACTATTCTTTCCTCGCAAACCATTCGATGCTTTTGCCTGGCGCGGACCGCGCGCAGGTACTCGTACTTGGTACGAAAAGCGAGAGGACAAATTCGGGGCTCGGCTGGTGACTTACTTGGAGCATCACGAATGAAGAGGGACATTAGGTGGTTAAAATTGCAATGAATTTGAAATAAGCTCCTCTGGTGGCTCATGGACAGCATGCTAGCCTCCCGTGGTACGATCCCGGGTTGATTTCTGGTTGAGGCAAAGTAACTTTCTAATCCAATCGTCTCAATTTCTATCGATGTGTGACGAGAGAAAAGATAAGAAAGGTCAAAAGTGCTGTATATGTTAATAATATATGTGTCTCACCACAACTAACCGTTACCCCCAGGCGTGGATAATAAATAAAAACCGAGCCCCTGGTCTGATAACCCGCTAGCTGGCAAAAATGGGGTTCATTCGGCCATCTAATGCCCAATACACACAGATTGTTAAGGAAGGAAACAATGAAACTACCAAAATAAGCTCTTAATACAATTTTAAGCGTGTTTTTTTCTAATAAACTCCATCGAGATTTTAAATTTCTGAGTCGCAAGAAGCATTCATAAGTTGGTTTGAAAAAAATTACGCCAAAAGTGGCATTGCAGAAACATGTAAACACTCCAGAAGCATGTACACTGTTTATTTTTTACAAAAGTAATGAAAATATGTGTTCGCAAAGAACAATAAACACAGAAAAAAAACATTTCTTTTTTGGAAAACTTTCGCAGGTTGTTTTTTTGCCAAGCAACTAATGAGTACTTATTGAGGCTCAGCCATTAGAAATCTCTCAGGAGTTTATTACACAAAATATGCTTAAAATTGTGTTAAGAGCTTATTTTTTTATAGTTTCCTTGTTTTCTCCCTGGACACTTTGAATATACTACTCGAATTAAGTTATCGGGTTTTTAGTGGGCCACCAATTTCCACCGTGACGTATAAGGGTGCACCTTTCGGAACACGCTGTATCTGCCCTTCTCTCTCCCCGCGTGCCAATGGAAGCTTTGGAGCGCGCGGCGCTGGCGCGGGCGCGCGTCGCCGAGGAAGCAAAAGCGTGGAGCGGCGGCGGGGACTCACCTGATGGCGCCGTTAATGAAAACGGACATGAGGGCGATGCCGAGCCCGCTGCCCGACACGATGAAGATCTCCACGAACTCGCGCCGCCGCTTGAAGTACTGCGCCACCATCAGCGTGGAGCAGTCGCGCGTCAGCCCCACGCCCACTCCTGCGCACACACACGCGCGCGCGCGCGCAGGCGCCAGTCAGCGCGGGAGAACGCAAGGCGGCATTCGAATCGGAGAAAACAAAAACGTTCCATGTCCAGAAGCTTCAAATGTTGAAGAGCAAGCAAAAAGGTTCAAAGTTCCGAACATCGATCATTCTTTCTTAACATTAATAGTCGAAAGGCACTTTACAGAGGTCACAGAGCACCGACAACGAACTTTTATGCATAAAAAGTTTAATTTATATTTTAAGAACAGATTTCCAGCTTAATTCAAAACCGACAGAATAGAATATCGAACCTTTTTGTATTTGTCAAGTCATCTGTTTCATTTTTTTTAAATAGGTGTTTTTAAAATATTTTTAATTTTTCAGTTACTTGTAAAATATTTTTTTAATTTTTTAGTTTAATTTTTTCATTTAAAGTTATTTATTTGTTCAATATTTAAAAATTTTTATTTTCATTTTTTAACTTATTTATTTATTTATCTTCCAAAATAGGAGAAGGTCTAAGCTTCTGACTGGTCAACCGATTTAAGTTGTGATGTAGTGAATGTATGAGTAAGTGTGTGTAAGGGGAGAGGATAGGACACGGAGGAGAAAGGAAATATATCGCACGGTCCGTAGCCCGTTTGTTAAGGTACTGCTCCAACATTCGTTTGGTGATGATCTGAGAAACTACGGAAACTACCGATCACAGCGGCCAGTCGCTAGAATTCTCCAGACAGCGGCTGAATTCGATCGAGCTTTGTAGTACCTTAAACTACCTAGCTTTGTAGGACACATTGCAGCCTCAAAATGACAAAGTTCTATTCATCTTCGAGCAAATTTTTCAAGAGAGCGAATTCAAATGTGAACGTCCGCGACCGGAGTCATTGCTGCCTGGAAGGCGCTACGTCATAGGTTTGTTGCCAACGTTCGGGCCGTCATTTTGCGATCTTCTGTGACTTGCATTACGTTGGCAACTGCGACATCGACACGGCGCCTCCCGGATATCAAAGAATTTATTTCCTCATTTTCGAAGGTACAGATGTCTAATAAAAATGCAAAATGCTATGACACTTTGTCCATAGAAGGAAGAAGAAATTACTCCATGTTATATTTGAAAACAGCTTTAATATGTTGTAAATCTTAAAAAAAACTTTGAACATAATTTTTACAAAAAAAATATCATGTAGAACCTTGTAGTTCTGAGGTCGCAACATGTAGGATAACAAAGAAAATTGTGAACGTCTCAATAAAGTATTGTAGATTTGATATTCATGGGAAAGAATTACATGCAGTTGCCTTTGTCAAAATACATGTTTATTGGAGATAACCGGCTTGGATCACCATTATCGTCATTCACGTTATAGAGTAGGGCTAACCGAAATTAAAAATTAACCGTTTTTTGGTACGAAATACGATAGCCCTGCATCAACATGATGGCACATGGCCTCGTCATCTGACAAAGAGGCAGTGTACATTAAGACATTACACAAGTTTATAAATTAACTTGAGTGTTTACTGATGTGTCATTGTAATGACTGTTTACTGATTTGCCATTGATCATCATTGTGTTTGCTGATGTGTCATTGATCAATTACAGACACAGTATTAAATTTCTAAATATGATATCCTCATATTATAGTATTGTGTACTAATTCTAAATATTTCCCACAAAAGAAATGTAAACTTCTACTAGACTTGGAATTCAGATCACTAAGATTGTTTGCCATGTTTCCAGAAAAATAGAATAAAATGCTAAAGAAAGATAAGAAAACAAGCTTTACAAAAATTTCTTTTGGAATATATGTTATACCTATTTACACAGAAATATCTCATAGCAATACTACCTACACAGAGCTAAAATAATTTTTCTGCAAAAAATACATCTATGTCGCATCAATGATGACAAAGTGATTCAGTTTCGCGAAGGAAGTTTCGTAAAGTTTACCATTCACCTGGGCTATGTACTAAGATTTGATGTTTGTTTTCGTCAAGAAACCATGTCAAAAGCCGAGAGATTTTTACTCAAATTGAGAGCAAAAGTATCATTTAGATGAATAGGTCTCAGCCAAATTACTTCAAAATTATATTTTGTAACATTGTCATTAACGAATAATTCATTTAGCAATATATGAGAGGAGTATATTTCTATTCTCCAATATAATTTAAGTTCAAAAACTTCAAAAAGCAAATAATAATACAGCGTCAATTTAAGATCATAGTTTTCCATGAACATAAATTGAAAATAAAAGATCCTGTTACATTTTAAAACGTAGTATGAAATAAATCAATATTTTTCTCTAAGATTATTCACGCGGAAAATCGTAGTATGGATAATAAAGACATGAATAAAAGAACAGAGTTTTTAGAGAAAAGAAATTAAAGGTAAATTGCCATAAATGCATAACGAATAGTCATCTCGTCAGTTTTAAAGACACAAGCATGCATGGATGTTTGTCTAATGAGGATATAATACAAACGCTTTAATTTTTTCTCAGAGGTTTGTTAAGTGTGTCACAAGAGAGAATGAACAAATAATTAATAATAATAATAATAATAATAATAATAATGTCATCGCTGAATGTACTGAAATAATAGAAAGTCGTGACAAGCTGTCGGTACCGTTTTGGGTTTCTTTACAACGTGTGACAGCCATCCGACCTCCTTATTTTTTCAACTTTTCTTTTTTGCCTTATTAAAAACGTCCTAAAATTTTCAAAGTACGTAAAATTCAACTTTTTTCAAAATTTCAATGTTGATTTCAAATATTTTTTCTCAAATATCAATGTTGCTTTTCAATGAGTCAAACATAATATTGAGTCAATGAGTCAAATAATAAATATATATTATTTGGACTACGCATACGGCAATTTGGTGTTTTGTCAAGTTGTCTAGCGTTTGCGTTTGGAAAGTCGAGTACTTTTGCAAAGGATGACTGCTTCCCAAACGTCACATGCAGTGCAATACCTTACTTACTAATGTTCTAAGAAAATCGATATCCTTTTTATTGCTGTGCTCACCTCCCTACTCCAAAATGTTTTATTGTACCATCAAAGAAGAGAAATGAAAGAAAATAAACTCTAAACCGATAAGATCGAAGTAACTAACAACACTTACACATCTCTATTGCATACACAAGGAAAAGAATTTGCCTCGGGAGATAATTCATTTTAGTGTGTTAATTAATCTCCTTTTCAGCTACCCAGAAAAATGAAACGCATAAAAAAAGATATCCCAAAACGTGTTCGAACTAACCGGAGGAACTCTGTCACAGCGGGCGCCCGGCCCTAGAAGTTGTATCTAGCGAGAAGCAATAATTGTAACAAGCCCCCAAATTCAATTTCGATTTTCTTATTTTACTCGCAGCAATTATTCATGGAGCGTTAAGACTATGCATACGGAATGAGCGGTCGCGCATGGATGCACGTGCGCGCGAGGACGGCGTGTGGAGCGTGGGGCGTGGAGCGTGACACGCCCCCGGGTTCGCACGCGAGGTGCGCCCTCTCGCGAAGTGAGTTCGCAACGCTCCCCATGTCATGCAGGGGCGTGGTAACTTGGTAAATTTATCATATTTTATGTTTTCTCTTGACTGTTCACGTATTGTCATGTTCAGGTTTTGGGTTGCGTGTTAGCTTGTGGTTGTTGGTCAGTGAATGGTACTGGCACGAAAACTCGAAAAAAGAACAGAATACAAATATGAAGCAAGAATATTTGCTTTAATTTATAAACAATATTGGAAAAAGTTTCATACATGTCAGAACTGGTGGTTCTATACCACCTAAAGTATATTTGCTCTAATGGGCGAATGCTTCTGGATGCTTAAAAATAGAAAAGCGAAATTTTGAAATAAAACCTTTTGTATAAATTTATGAAATGTATAGATATGAAATTTATATAAGAATTTTGGCATAATTTGAATCGACTTGCTATATAGCTCTCATAAAAATAAACAAATAAGGTCTTACGAAGTTTTTCGCCATCGGAAATTACTTTTCGAGAAATTAAGTAATCGCTATTCTTTAGGAATTAAATAAAGAAGTGAAGATCAATTAGCTTGTCTTACGAAGTTGCGTTCTGAAGCATTCTTAGTGTATCCACGGAGTTACGCATTACGAAAAGAATATCATTAACATAAGTTACAATGTTATTACTAGTCTTAGTTAATAGATATTGCCCAAAGAAATATTTTAATGAACGTATTCTATTTGATAGGATACTGCTTCGATAATGGGAATTATCCCTAAAATGGCCGCTTCAATTCCTTGTTCCTTTCCCTAAGGCCTTTTATAACCTTCCTTCGTGCCTGCGTATCCTTTGATCATTTCAAGAGAATGAAGTATCGTACGACTACTACATTCCACTCCGTGCTATTGAATGGAAATTGATCGTAAATTTCGATTCTTCTCACAGGTATATAGATTCTCGTCTCGTGTCTATACAGATGGCTTTTGGATGTTATACTACAACCCACTTACTCAAAATAAATTTTATTCGGTGGAACGGTCGTTAGACTCTTTTGCATCTGTCAATGCAATGCCTTCCATGATGCTTTTTAGATTAGCTTCTCTTGATTCTCATGCTGACAAGGAACAACCAATTTAAATGATACATGAATACAGTTTATGACCAACCATGTTTCATACATGGGAGTGTAGTCCCAATATCCGTGAACAACCAATTAAAATACGAGAGTATTGAGAAATTCGTCTTGTAGTTTTCTGTTTTACACTTCAGTACTACGCTCTACTACGTTTATAAGCTACAATCGTTTTGTTCTGGAAAGTATTTCTTTAAAATTGTTTATTTCACTCATATATGTAAGAAGCAAGGTCAATTCGGAATTCATTTAAATTTCAACCCGTCCCAGATGTCTATCAGTTAAAATTTATCGCCTCGGTGTAATTTACAGCTGACGTGGATTTGCCTTTCTTACATCTGAGAAATTATTTTGCTTTACGAATATGTACTACATTACACCACACTGTAGAAATAAATATAGTAACCATTAGAGGGTCGACCATAATTTACGTAATGTTATAGATGGAGTTTGAGGCAGAGTTACATTACATTCCAGAGGACTAGTGGGTGTTAGTTTAGCGTTATATAACGTAGCAATTTATTTTCTTTTAATGTTTCAACAATGTCTAAAATAATTCATTTTACGTATCAACAACGGTAAAATACTGCGAAAATAACTATACTGTCTCTCTGCCATAACATGAATAGTTACGAGTTGATTCTTCAGATTGTCACATCGTCATTAATTAGTTCTCATATTGATAGTTGTATATTAAATTAAATGAACCAATTTTGCTAACATAAACATTTAGAATAAAAGTATTACTATCAACACTTTTTCATGTATCGTATTTTGTCTGAAGGTGGACGAGCCATGCAATTGTGTACAATGAAAAATTTCTATTTATTAATAACTTTGAAAGCACAAATACAATTTTTAAATAATCTAATATCTGCCGAGGATGCCACGCCCCGGCCATTCAGTCTCCTTTTACGTGGCGAAGCTCAGACCATCATACCTCTTCCGCCTGACCACGAAAATTTCGCTATGCTTCTCTTACCGTATAGCAGCGAAAACAAAATATCACTCCGGCGACGAAACAGTCTATTAGAATTTAGCTCAGAGGATTCTTACAGGCTTGATAATCTTTTATCTTTAAATATACAACATGTGACAGCCAGCTTTACTTCCCCTCCTTGTTTGTGTCAATTCCCCTTCCAAAAGAACAGTTAAAAACGATTTTTTTGACCTTTAAAATACATGGTTTCATTTTTTTTGTTTTACTATTTTACGTCAAAAACAGTTACAAACTATGTGTGACGTGCCACGAGAATAGTTTTTTGCGCACGTTTTCTTAATTCTGAGATCCTTACCCTAAGCCATATATAAGTTGCATTCTGAATACAGAAAGAAATGAACGTTTTTGGCAAGAATTGTTCACACAATATTTGCTTTTAAATATTTGCTTTGAAATAATAAAATATAGCAAATCAACTGTGGTTCTTATCTGTCATCATGTCCTTCGTGAAGAAATAATACTTTCTGCCTCGACAACAAGAAGAACGATAATTTTAATAAATACATTTACCACTGATTTCTAGAAATGAAGTTACATTTTCGGTTTCAGTCGTATTTGAATCTGCGAACACTAACCGCTACACCACCAACCGCGGCCCAAGTCGCACTGTATTTACATCACTACTTACCTATGACAGTTCCATACGAAAAGAAAAGCTGGTGGAACTGGGATGCGAAGGAAGTGAAGAGGCAACCGAGCGCGGTCACCAGGCCACCCAGCACCGCGGTGACGCGCGTCGACTTCCGTCGGCAGAAGGCGATCGTCACCGGCGACAGGAGGAGAGCGACCGCCGTCGACAGAGCGCCCAGCCACCCTGCGCACACAAACAAACACGCCTTCAGTGAACTCTGCCACATAATTATAGTAATTATAATATCAATAATATTAGTAACAACCATAATAATAGTAGTAATAATGTTATTAATATTATTTTTTCATAAAAGAATTACAAATGTAAAATGTAATATTTTCTGTAATGTAATAATAATTAATCACCTAAACCCTGTGTTTTTTGCCTTGGCCAAAGTACGGTGTATAACAATTTATAAATGAGTATAAATGACAATAATAATAATAATAATAATAATAATAATAATAATAATAACAGCCTGTCCGGATAGCCGGGATGATCATTATCATAATTATTCCGCCTTCCATCCCCCCAGGACTAGCAACCGTGGGGGATAAAAATCAGAATCAGCTTAATGCCGATCCCCCAAAAAAGGAGTCACATGCACTAGCTACGGGATAAATGATACTGAGCCTCCGTAAGTGCAGGTGAGTGGTCCGAGACGGCCATACTCTCTCCCCAAAAAATAATATCCAAAAAATGAAATGTTGACATATGAAGAAATGTTCCTCAACCAACACAAAAAGTATTCTGACATACCGAATTCTCTGCATTAAAGTATGGAATTAATCCTTTCTACAAACATATGGTCATTCTTACCAGTACATTTTCGTCACATCGAGAGTTATTAGAAAATTTGAGAAAACGCAATAGTTAAATTTTTTGTTTATTAATGATGCTACCACCTACTGGTATACATAATTAACAAAATGTCTTGATTTCTAATCTAATTATTATTCTAAAACTCTTACAGTTACCTCAAGACATTTGCTTCACGTCTTAGGCCAGGGAACCGTGTTCCAACTTTCATCTGTAATGTCGTACATTTCAGACGCAAACCCAAAATTTCACATAGTAAATTCATCGATTACGCAAAAAGCCAATATAAAGTACAAAGTAATGTTTTTGATTCGTTATTATATCTATATTATAATATATAATTATATATATAATATATATATATATTAATATATAGAGATGAGAGAGAAGAGAGAGAGAGAGAGAGAGATATTACATTTTCATACATAAATATATTCTTTGTTGAAGTTCTACAGACTTCTCTCATAGTTATTCTAATAGAATACTTCCATCAGACAGTTTCTAATAGAATATATGGCAGACTTTACAAAAACGAGTAAATGTAGTAACTGTTCTACAGCATTCAGCATTCTCCATTCTAAACTCCTCCTGTTTGTAGTGCTAAAGTTCTCCATGCAAAATAATATAAATCTCATTTAAATCACAAAGGAAGCTGTCTCGTTAGACGGCCTTGTCTTTTTCTCTTTTCTCAGATCGAATTTCGTATCACGAGGAGATTTATCTTCCCTTCTCAGAGGGTTCAATTTCAAAGTTTAATGAAGGCCAGACTGTGATGGAATTTAGAATCTGTATCTCTGTCGCACAGTCTTTCTGTTCTTCTGCATTTCAGCAAACCAACGCATTTTGAATTCTTTAGGTAATGTTTTACTGTAATGCCTTAATAATACAATTCAAATATATAACCCAAAAATTCAAATACAATAATCACATTTGGATTTATTACAATACAATAGAGCACGTCTTTTCTGAAAAAATGTATGACTGTATATGAAGTCATATATCGTTTGTGGTTTTTGAAACTGTATTATTCTAGTGGCCTGCAGAACAAAACCACAAACTATTTTCCCAAAACGTAGGGCGTACACTGCTAAAGTTCAACAAATAAAGTACTCTTTTATATCAGTGCACTAAATTTAATATTTTAACAAAAACAGTCTTCATGAAAATCCCTGTAACATAGCATAGTGTTTGTACATATAATACATACGAAGATTTTTAAAAAATGTTAGTGTTCCATAGCACAACACGGAAATAGTAAATACTTAACTGGGGGCCCCCTCTTCCTTGGATCCTTGCTGTTATATGATATCAGATGTGCCGTGAGCAATGTCACTCTGAGAATGAGAAGTCACTCGATACGAGAAACACGAGAATAGGCGGAATAATAGGATCAAATATTTGCATTGTTTAGTCAAAATCGAATCGTGCATTGTTTTTGTTTTTTCCCGAGTTTCGGGTATCACACGAAAGCTTTAGCATATCTCGCCCGGTCAGAGGTTGTATAGATTTCTTTCAATAGCTGCATACATTGAAAATTAGTAATACAGATTTTGACAATATTTCGACGTAGTTAAAAATTTAACCAATTTAAAAATATACTACATTTGTTCACCCGTCGTTTCATGCAGACCATTAATAATAATGAATACAAACAATTCTAGAGTTCAAAAAAGATATGTCTCTAGATCCGAATCTATAAACAAGATCTTAAAAATATTATTATAACTGCAGTAGTTGTCAGAGCTTCACACATATATTGCATTGCATTTCACTAATGAATTCTTCAAGACACTTGAACAGTCGTTAATCACAAAAAGAAATGACGAAGCTTTACATCTTAAATAATATCAGATAAGTAGGTAGTTGCTTTACAGCGCAGTTGAAAGAGTACTTAGATTTGATCAGATATGTGGAAAATATACTAACTCTCATAAATACTATGTTGCACGTTTGTTATTTCGAAAATATAGGTACATCTCACGCTGGTGTGTGCTGTTCTACATAACCAACTTGTCTTCTGATGTAAGCATATCCATCTTTGATAGATATTTGAAGCATGCAGTACAGTGCATTCTCAGTTTTCTGAATCATTGTGACATGCAGTCCTATGTGAACAAATTGTGTTACAAGAGCATATTACTTCTTATTGGGAAGCGTCCAGAAATATACTCAAATTTAAATAACACCAAATGCATATAACAGACGAGATAAAATAAGATAAAATCGTGCATTAATTACTGAATTATTGTGCGCAAGTTCCACGCATTGCAAATTGCAATGTAGCACATACGCTAACGATAACAGTCTTCTGTGGTGAGAAAAGAACCTGTGATACTAGAAATAGATAATAATGAGATCCAAAAGAAAGTTTCTTGAAACATGGGCTACATTGGAGACGTTAAGTCAAGATGAAACACGGTTAAAGACAGGGAGGCGGCGCCTAGAGGAGAGTACGAAATTACACGACTCGAAACCAGAAAGTCACGTTGTTGCGAAGGGGTTACTATTGACATCATCTGTTCACCCACTCAAGCGCAGTTGTAGTCACATAGTGCAGCGCAGTGGTTTTGAACAGCGTGTTCCGAAATAGCAAAGAAGTCACAATTTCTCGCAAACAAACGTTTTGACCTGAAACCTATTGCACAACAGTTTCTCCAGTTGCGTATATTTAAAACACTAAGTGTTTTCATTTGAAAATAGTTTGGAGCTTTCTACTCAACCAAATTTCTTAATTTTTACTTTAAAGATAATTTAATAGTCCGCAGATGTTTCATCGCTTGATATTTTTAACTACTTTTATATTACAAACACTAAGTTTTAAAACATCGTAAAATTAAAAGAATAAACGCTTATTTACAGTAATTTGTTCAATCCGTTGTTTGGTTGCGCTAAAATATATTCACGAAGGACTAGAGCTAGCAAACGTGTGCAAGTGAGAGGTTATAGTTATTGATGCGAAGATAGCAAAATTTGTAAGTTAGAAGACTATTTTTAAATCCAAAGATCAGAGAGTAAATATAAACGCTGTACCCAGTAATTGCCTAACATTCGTGTTCTTTAAAAAAAATCAATGAATGTAATTATATATGATGCATTACGTTTTTAAATTAAGGCGGAAGCAGAATTTTCTGCTATAATCCACTACAACATACTACATGAGCAGATCTTGGTATATAAAAATTATGTCAATTAAGTTTACATGAACTTTTTAACTGAGTTCATAATAAATTGATGAATTATTCGAGAATTCGTTAACTTCCCTTATGTCAGTAGTCATGGAGAATACGTACTGCACGTCACGGAACAACGTGTTTCGGTTTTTGATATTCCTTTTATAACTTTTCTACAGTTCGCGATCCCATGTGATGAAATTGCTGGGGTTCAACTAGTTCACAATAAAAGCCTGAATAATTTTCTCCAGCATAATTATGAATTTTAATTTTTTCACCTATTTGATAACACAAGGAATACGTCGAGATCAGGCATGCTATCGCAATGCGTCGAAACTGAAGTTAATGAATTATATATATTTATATCAAGTGTATGGTCGCTGTATGTCCCAGATGTTGGTTGAAGATATGTATTTAATTTGTCTCCATAGTAAGTGTAAACATTGTAAGTGTTCACATTTACTCGTAGATTTATGTTCACCCATGGAATCATGAGATTTCGCATCGAATATGCATTGGCCCGAGAGGTTGATGGCGAAGGATTTCCTTACCTGCCGACAACACTATCTAGTGATGATTTTCCAAATTACTTTCTCTAGACCAAGTTATGAAGATTAATTTATTTGAATGGATAGCGAAAACAATATTTTATATTTCTATTGAGAGCTAATAGAAATAGTAGTACAGAGACACAACAGTAGTAGTAGTATAGACAGAAGTGCAGAGAGTTCATAGTAATAATAAAAAGACTTCCGTGATTCCTACCCATGAAACTCAATTGACATTATTTTTTGGTATACGTAATGTTGCTTTCAAGTTACGATAATATAAACGCGGTGTTACTAATAGCAAATGGATGTCTCCTTGTCGTAGTGTTGATCCAGAACTGGGAGAGTGGTGGATTCGATTTCGAGTCTGGGAAGATATTTTTATCCATTCCAAATTACCGTAAAATCCTCTAAATTACAACAATCTATATTTATCTTGCCAATGTTATGCATTGCGTTCGCAAACAAGGCGAATGTTTGAATTCTGAAAAAACGACATAATTGACGATTATTTGTTTCGATTTATTAAAACGATTGTTTCCAAAAATTAATGTAAAATTACTGTTTATAGAAATGTTATACGACAATGTTAGTGATATATTTATGCGTACTATAATTTTATAGTTTAGAAGATAATTAAATAAACTCATCTCTTTTGTTGAGAGATATAATCGATTTTCTATTTAAGTGTCAGCCTCAGACTTTCTACTGTTCTTGGTAGTACGAAACCCAGGGGCAAATGAGATAAGAATGCAGCGTTGCCACTTGGTAAAAGAAAGAAAAATCAATATTTTCAACCAAGAAAATGGAACTTCATTTACCCTATTCAATTTTTCGCAAGGCGCACCAAGCAACAGGAGAGCGACTTATGTAATTAGTGAAAGAGAGGCACCTGTCTCAGATGCGGCGATATTGGTGGCCTTATTACTCATTGTTTTTGCTGTAATATTGGTATTTCCTATATCTATAAGAATAAAATAAAATAAAATATTTGGAAAATAAAATAAAAATATTTCGTATTAAGACAAATGCCTCTTTTCGGGGCTACCATCATTTGAAATCAAAACCATAATTTAATTACGCAAAAGGGAGAACTGTAGTACAATTAATTTCACAAAAAAACGGATAAGCTATGTGCTTTTCACAGCAGACTACTTCTGAGCCAAATGAATACTCTTATATTAAAAGTGCTCGGATTAATTATGGTATCTAATTTCCGTCAATTAAATTCTTCTTAGATATTTAGATATGTAATATTGATGTTGGGCGAGTCTAATATATCTACCGGAATTATGGAAGGATGTGGGGATTTAAAGGTTTCATTTAGTTCAATATTCAGAAAACATTGTTGCCCCACAAACGACGATTGAACCTATCAACATGAATGAGTGACAGGTCACCTTGGAAATTAAATCATTGAACCATTCGAGTGACTAGAAGTATTACTTGTTAAGTGGTTCCCATTCGAGGTATCTTCTGTTATGTTGCCTTCCCGTTGATGATGCTCATCTTTATGTTTTACGAGCTCAATAATCCGTTTTGGCGCCCTACGATATAAAAATAATTGTATTCGTGTAAAAATAAAATACCGGCATTGATGGTATAACTGTTATCATTCCGGGATACTGATTTCAAGTTCGCCAGTTCAAACCGGGGGATATGTGTTCCGGAGGTTCAAGTCGGGGGATATGTGAAGTTCCAAAAATTGACGGCATGCATGCGGAAGTTTGTCTGAATGTAAAGCATATCCCAGGCTGTATTCGTTGGTAAAACAAGGTTGTTAGGCCTTGAACAATGTTTTA